TCCTCGGCAATTTCCTCAGCAATTCAATCCAGACTGGCAGGATTCCTTCAGCCAATGATGATTTTCAACCAAGGCTTTAAAAAACAGTCTACTATCCTAAGATACCAAACGTAAGCATTTCAAACCTTCAACCTCAAATTAAACTTTATTCACCTTAACTGTGAAAACATAAGCTGTCAGTGTGTATCTTGAGGGGGATCGTTGTTCTTGCTGTTTTTGTGCTTGTTGCCATTATTGGTTGCCATGGAGTCAGCTCAGAATGAAACATTGCCCCATTTGGCACCATCTTCCAGCACCGTACTGGACAATGTTCTATTGTGATCCCTAAGGTTCTCATTGGCTAATTTTCAGAAGTACGTAAATCACCAGGCCTTTCCTCTGACTTAGTCTGGAAGCTCTGTGTACGCCTCTGTACCATAGGCTACCACGCTGGTATTTGAAATCCCCGTGGCATAGCTTCCAGCATCACAGCAACACCCAAGTCACCACAGTACGGGAGGGAAGTGATAGCATATTACATTGGTTTGTGTGCTGCGTTCTAAAACACACAGTCACACTAAACAAACTCAGCAGGTCAGCACTCTGCTGGGGAGGACTCCACCCCCTCATGCTGCGGTCCACGTTGAGTCTGAGCCACGTGTGGGCAGAGACTGTAAGAGCCTGACCCTGGTGGAACTGGCACCGTACCCTGCTCTGCAGTCCCTCTCAGTCACCGGTCAAGGCGCAATCGATTCAGGGGGTTGGCGAGCTGCAGCCTATCCACACCGCATAAGCCCACAAGAGAGTTGCTCTTGGGTAGAGAAACACCCCCAGGGCACGTGGGTTAATAAACACAGTGGCCACCACTTGTTGAATACTCAGAGCGCGTCAGACACTGTTCTGGACAGTCACTTGCGTCTGTGTTCCGCAAAGTGTGTTCCCTGGATTAGCAGCACCACCCGGGAGCCGGTTAGAAATGCAGATGCTCAGGGCCCAGCCCAGACCTACTTAATCACGCCCTCCCGGGCTGAGGCCCTGCCACCTGAGCCTTGTCTGGCTGTTGATCTCTGCTAAAGTTTAAAAGCCCCCAGCCCTGATCATCTCATTTCATCCTCAGACACTCGATGACTCAGATGTCATTTACCCCAGCTGACAGGATATAAGTTGAGACTCAGAGAGGTTTTTAAGAAAAAAAACTCTGTGTGGTTTACGCTCCTGGCCAGTCCTGGCCAGTGGAGTTGGGATTTAAGCCCCAGCGTGGGGGCCTGGAGCAGCTGCTGATGAGACACCCAGGGTGGTCCATCAGGCCCCTTTCCTCCCTGTCACCGGTAGTGAGGAGCACAGGGCTTTGTGGAGAGAGCCTGCCTTGTAGGCGGGGGAGTCTGGACTCCAGCCCACGCTGCCAGGGGCCACCCGTAGGACCCGGCACCCCAGCGCACTCTTGTGAGCCTCAGTCTTCTCCTCTATGAAATGAGCTTTCCTCCGCAGCAGTGAGAGGACCATGGAGCGTCTGGCATCTTTAGTCAGAGCCCTGGAGATAGAGGTGAGCTCCTCTTCCTCGCACATTTCTGCACAATCCTCTGAGGTCACCAGGGTACCTCAGACGGAAAGATGACTCACACTGACCAGAAGTGCAGCTTGAAGAGAAAAGCCCAGCTCCAGGACCCCGGAACCTCAAGTACTGACTCAGGTATTTCATCACCTGAGTGAGAGGCAAATATTTTTACTAAGGGCCTATTGGGTAGACTCTGGGGTTTCCAGAATTTAGAATGTAACCCATTTTATTGCCTTCTTTCAGTATAACCTAAACCAGAAACCTCTTGCCTCAGGTTGTAGTGATGTAAGGTCCTGGATGGGAAGGGTCTTTGTAAAAGTGACCGAGACCCATTATTTCCACCCATCATGAGAGGTCAGTTGTTGGCATTTTTTTCTTCCAAGCTGAGAGAACACCGTGACATCACACAGGACCCTCGTAGGATTCATGGCCCAAAGGGACCTAAAAGCTGGGGAATTCTTTTTTTTTTTTTTTAAGTGCCCTCTTGCGGTTGATTATAAATTCAGAGCAGCCTCAGCCAAGTTAAAAGAGCTGCCTACAGTTTAACAAATAGCGAAGGTGTGAGAAACAATTTACTCTAAGGGACAGGACAGTCAAAAGACAGGCCTGCTATCTTCAGCCCAGGAGTTCATTCCTGAGCTGGAAGGACACAATGGCTGCATCAATGGACTCAAACAAGCCAGTGACCCTGAAGGTGCTACAGGACATGGCAATGTTTCGTTCTGTCATACATAAGGTCACCATGAGTCACAGCCCGCTGGACAGCAACTAATCACAACCACGAAAGCCAAGGATCTTGACTCTAAGCAACCAGCTTACTGGCCCTTCCTTTGCGTGATTTGCATATCACCTTCCTTGGCATGCATCTGTGCCCATGGCACCACATGTCTGCAGATTTTGAGGTTGGTTACGTTGGTCACATCTCATTTAGAGGAGAGAAATGGACCCGGAGGGAGAAACAACATCCTCCGATGGAAACCCAGCCCTCAGGGGAGGGCTGCAGCAGGAGCAGCTGCAGACTGGAATGGATGCGATGCATTGAACTGTGTCCCTCAAAATACGTGGGGAAGTCCTGTCCCCTGTAGCTGTGAACGTGACCATGTTTGGAAATAGTGGGTTTCTTTTGTTATGTTAAAGAGGTTTGCTGGATGAGAGTGGATCCTAAACCTAATCCCTTCTGAGTGATGTCCGATAAAAAGAGCAGAATAGAACACAGACACACAGGGGAAGACAGACGCTATGTGAGAACCCTTCTATAAGCCAAAGATCACCAAGGAGCGCCCAGGACTACCAGTTAGGAGAGGCCCCCTCCTAGAGCTAATGGCCTGATCTGGACTTTTAGCCTCCAAAACGGGGAGACAACAAATTCCTGATCTTTAAAGCCACCCACTTATGGCATTTGTGTTAGGGCAGTGCTCACATGGAAGGAGAAAATTCTACTACAGAACCAGCAGTGCTTCATGGGAATTTACCTAAGGACACCTTAGTTCAAAGCCACCATTCTTCATACACACCTTAGTCTCAACTTCCCAAAGACAGTTACTAAAAACAAATGCTCCATATCAAATACTATATACTAAGCCCTCATTAAGCCTTTCACCCAGCAAACCCTTAAATCTTTTTTTTTTAACTTTACAAGTTGCATCTACCCAACTTCCCTTTTACTTTTCAAGCTTGGAAAAAAAAACAAAAAAGGGCTGGGTAGCAACTGGTCTTTGTATTCTCCACCTCTCTGTAATTCCCAGATGCCCTGGTATCTGAGTGAGATGCACGGGTAGATCCATAGGGGAAGGGACAACCTAGTAGAACTTCTATCTATATTTATGTTTTCTCTTACAAACACGAGAAGAATAATGAAAAAGGGTCTATTCATGATGTGTGCAATCGAAACAAATTTGGAGACTGTGGTGGAGTACCTCATTTTCCTCCCCCGTCCAACAGTGCTTCCTTCAAATTGGTAACTCTGTCCCCTTTACCTTTTTGTTGCTTATGGTTTTTTTCAGGTTTAATGGCACTTTCCCATGAGGCGTTAGTGGTTCGGTGGTAGAATTCTCGCCCTCCAGCTGGAGACGCGAGTTCAGTTCATGGCCAATGCACCTCATGTGCAGCCACCAGTTTCTCAGCGGGGGCTTGAGTGTTGCTCTGATGCTGCTCTAATTTCAGCAGAGCTTCCAGAATAAGACTGCTAGGAAGACCTGGAGATATACTTCTGAAAATCAGCCAGTGAAAACCCAGTGGATCACAGTGGTCTGATCCACCACCAGTCATGGGGATGGGGCAGAAGTGGTCAGCGTTTCATTATGTTGTACACAGAGTCGCCATGAATCAGAGGCAGATGTGGCTATGACAACACATCCATTCAAACTCACACTCCTTGTTTGTCCGAAGTCTGGACATGACCAGTGATGTGTGCCCCTCGAAGCTGAACAGAGCCCTGACTCCAGTTATTCAGCTTGGGTTTCCAATACTCCAAGCTGTACTGTGCGTCCCTTACTGTTCCTGTTTTATTGGGCTATTGTGACGATTAAGTGTGAAGTGCTCGCCATAAGGTCAAATCAGCCCCTCATGACCATTGTCGTTATCAATATCATTTTATGGAGAAAATGTGTTTTCAAATGTATGCTACACTAGACCCTAGGTAGATATGTGCGTATCTATTTATCAGTCTATGTATCTGCTGGACTATGTATTTGCCTGGATATTCTGCTCATGTGAGAGGCTCATTTTATCTGCTCCACAGGGCATTTCTAGCTGTTCCTTGGAAAACAGGTCATAGAATTGACCTCCCTGTATCCCATGGGAATACTCTCTGTGAGCAGGTCCCTCACTGCCCTATAACCTACAAGAAAGAGTTTTCTGAGCTTCTCTCTCTCATTCCAGTTTCTGCATTGGTAGGTAGCTTTCCAATGATGTGAGCACACACTCAGGACCCCAAGGAAGGAGTGTGTAGCTCTTCATCCAAAGTTGCCATTTGATAACCCCACCATATAAATGGCACTCCAGTGAGCAGTTCTGTGCCCTCGTCAGGATGTGCAGCCGACTGAGTACATCCCATGGCAGACTTATGCACCTCCAGGGCCTGCAGAAAGTCCCAGGAAGGCTTCCTCTCCTTCCCACACCAGACCCTTTCCCCACTGCCTCTCTCCAAATACTCCTTTTGACGTGACTTTCCTGGGCACAGCCTTTCCTCCCTAAGAAAATAACATGTCCCAAAAGCTGTCATGGGAAGGTACAAAAGGGATGGAAAGGGAATTCTCCACTCCTAGTAACAATTCACACCCTCTACCTGCAACTGGGCCCCTACTGGCACAGTGGTTCACCATTTGGCTGCTAACCAACAGGCCAGCAGTTGGAATCTACCAGTTGCTCCTTGGAAATCCAATGGGGCAGTCCTACTCTGTCCTATAGGGTCACTATGAGTTGGAATCGATTTAACGGCAATGGGTTTGTTTTTTTACCTGCAACTACAAGTTATTGTCCAATCGACTCTGACTTATGGTCACCCTAAGCGTGTCCGAGTAGAATTGTGCTTCATAAGGTTTTCAATGGTTGATTTTTTAGAAAGTCATCAGGTTTTTCTTCCAGGATGCCTCTGGATGGACTCGAACCTTCAACCTTTCAGTTAATAGCCAAGTCCTACCTTCAACTACCAAAAAGAAAAAGGAAATAGATATATCTAATAGTTATACCTGATCATTAGTTTTCAACCCAAAACTCATACCAGATCTACACCCCAGATATTCATTGCCTTCCCGCTAGCATAGCTTTAACCTCCCAACTCAGGGCCCACCTTCTAGATCCTTAAGGGTACCATACCCAGTCACATCTTCCTGTATTGTAGGTTTATCCCCTGGACGCCGGGAACCTGGGCATGTGAGAGAACACGAGTGAGATGGAAAGAGCCCAAGCACACCAGGCTGCGTCACAGAGTCAGTGTTGTGTATCCACTGCCAGCTGTATTCCCTATACTTCATTTCTTTGTCTTCCCCCAACTTTCTCTATTCACTGAGTCCTCACTTTTCTAAGTTCTCCATTCATCTCCAAAGCATAGCTCTTAATCTTTCACTCCCTGTGACGCTCCGAATCTTCTCTCCCAAATTTGTTCCATCTTGACCACAATCATCCTCATATCTTTTTTTTTTTCAGTTTTCTAGTTTTCCTTCCATATTTATTTGTAACCCAACCACGTTTCTCATTACTTACTCATCCCCACAGCTTTTCAATGTAGCATCTATCTCCATTAATTTGAGGTCACCATCTTGTACTACTATCCATTGTAAACCACTATTTTTTCTGCCATTTTGACTACAAATTTTGAAACTGACCAAAGAAACAGGTTCAACTCCATTTGAAGATAGCCCAGCATACGTCCTTGACTATTTTTCTACAGTGGCGTTTCGTGTGCAGAGCTGGCTGGTTAGCTCCCCCAGTCCTCCATGTTTGAATGATCAGTATGGCAGCGCTGATAAATAAACCTTCTGGAATTAAAATTAATTATTCTTCTGTCAGTATTTTGCCATAGATGTTATGTCTTGGTCTTTCCTCTTTGGAATCTAGAAAAGAAATAACTATCAGTCTATTTTTGACAAAAATTGCATTTTACTCCTGAACTCAAAAAGCCCCAATGACATCCATCTGACCTAAGGATAAAGTCCAAACTCCCTGGGCTGTTCAGGTCCTTCATGTAAATGGGACCGACTACTCCCCAATGTGACACACAATGAAGTTTCAATAAATAACTTTTTTTTTTTAATTTGTATTTTTGTTCAATTCTTTCCTAAGTACATCTTGTCACCTTAACCAGTATAAAAAGCCTTGTGCCCAGGGCCGTGTCCTGCATTTATGGACATTTATGGAGTATCCTGCACAAAGTTGAGGACGCAGTGAAATTTCAAGGTACTAGGTTTATAAATATTTGAGGAGCCTGATTTGACTTCAGAGGATGGGCCAAAATGAGTCCTGAAACAACCATAAAGAACCAGCCCTTGGCAGTCTTCTCCCATAATGTTTTATATGACTGACAGAACCACAAGACCTAAGTGACAGTCACAACCTAGAAGAACCATCTGAGGTACAGAAGTGCCTTAACTGGACAGGAAGGAAGCCACATCAGTCAAGCTATCGCTGAGGCAAGAGAAGGGTCAAAACCAAAGCACCAAGAAAAGTATGTACAGCAACCACAGTTTAAGATCAATTCCTCCTCAGTTATTTGCACTTAGTTTAGGGACAAATTCTGACCTGCAGAGTGACAGGAAGCTTCTGGAGGCCTTTGAATTCTCAACAAAAGTTGGAGTGTAAATTTGGTGTACACGGTCCTCTTAAACTCCTGGGATCTCAATTTTATCCGTTCCTCAGTATAGATAAATTACTTTCTGCTTTCCTTGATATAGATAAAGTATCTAATTTTCTCAGAAGTGGGGGGCAGTGCAGTGTTTCTTAGCCTTCTCACAAACGTTGCCTCTGTCCGGATTACTTGACACATATTTTGTGTGGCCTTCAATGACTAATCTTGTAGAGGCCTTTAGTCCCCTACTGTTGTCGTGAAAAGTTTCTAACCTTCTGAAGCACTGAAAGCAATTTGCTGCTCTAGTATTTTGAAGAAGCTTTAAAAAATCATGGTAGGATGAGAGGGTAGATAAGGAAAGAAAGCAGGAGAGAGGAAAGGAGGAAATAGAGAAGGAGAGAGGAAAGGAGAGGAAATCAGATAAGCTGATAATGCTTGATCTTGGTTGATCTTGGTTCATTACCCCATCCTGGCCTTCCTGCAGTCAGCAGTATTTCCCTCCTGTGATCAGCACAATAGAGTCAACCTTAAACTCAGTTCTTGGAGTTTCTGTTTTCAGGACTCATTAGTGGTTTGAATTCACAAATTATGTGGTTTGACACCTAGCTACAGAGGTCAATATTTACAGTGTGCTAACAATGCTGCTCACTAATGGAATTTCTTCCAGCCAAATCTCAAATCTTAGATAAATTTCCATTTCAATTTTAGTGCATCCTATAAGTTCATTTTACTTGGATCCACAATCAACACCCTTGGAAGCAGCAGTCAAGAAATCAAAAGACCCATTGCATTGGGCAAATCTGCTGCTCAAGACCTGTTTAAAATGTTGAAAAGCAAAGATGTCACCTTGAAGACTAAGGTGCACCTAACCAAAGCCTGGTGTTTTCAATTGCCTTATACACATGCAAAAGCTGGACTATGAATAAGGAAGCCTAAAGAAGAATTGATGCCTTTGAATTGTAGTGTTGGCGAAGAATATTGACTATACCATGGACTGTCAGAAGAACCAACAAATCTGTCTTGGAAGAAGTACAACCAGGCATGTTATCAGGAGGGATCAGTCCCTGGAGAAGGACATATGTTTGGTAAAGTAGAGGGTCATTGAAAAAGAGGAGGACCCTCAACAAGATGGATTCACACAGTGGCGGCAATGATGGGCTGAAGCCTAACAACGATTGTGAGGATGGCACAGGACCAGGCAGTGTTTCGTTCTGTTGAACATAGGTGTTATGAGTCAGAACCAACTTGATAGCACCTAACAACAACAACATAAGTTCAAGGGATAAATACAATGAAAAGGGTATTTACTAGTCTCCCAAAGAAAAAAAAAAAAATTAGGTGGAGCCTTACTTGAAAGCAATGTCACAATGTGGAGCATTAAAAATGTTTGCACGTGTTAACCCTGTAATTCCCTCCCTAGGAGTATATCTTAGGGAAATCACCAAAAGTACCAAGATTTACGCAAACAAACAGAATCTTTTGCTGGTTGAGTCGTAAAATCCTCACCCTCCACGCAGACCAAGAGTTGATTCCCGGTCAGTGCACCTCACGTGCAGCCAGTGTCTGTCGAGGGAGGTTTGTGTGTCGTTAGGATGCTGAACAGGTTTCAGTGGAGCTTCCAGACTTACGTGCACTGGGAAGAAAGATCTGATCTACTTCCGAAAATCAGATAATGAAAACCTGACGGATCACAGCAGTTCAATCCACCACCAATTGTGGGGGTGCTGCAGGACCAGGCAGCATTTTGTTCCATTGTGCGTGGGGTCATCATGAGTTGGTGGCCAATGTGACGGTAGCTAACAGCAACATCATACCTGTTTGGAAACAGGGTTTTTTTTTTTGTTGTGTTAATTAAATCATACCCAGGTGGGGTAGGTTTAAAATCTAATCACTTCAGAGTTACAAAAAGAGCAGAATGGACACAGCCACACACACTCAGGAAGACAGATGAGAATCGTCTGTAAACCATGGACTGTTAAGGAACCAAGGAACGCCTGGGGCTACCGACAAGGAAGGAGTTGACAAGGCTGACACCCTGATTTGGACTTTCAGCCTCCAGAGCTGTGAAAAAATAAATTCCTGTGCTTTAAAGCCACCCACTTGTGGTACTTGTGTTACAGCAGCACTGGGTAACTAAGACATTAACATTTACAATTTTTACTTTAGTGAAAAACAAGTTATTTGTACTATGTCCATAAATTATTCCTAACAATTGGAACTAAAGGTCACTATCTATAAAATACTGTTTGATTCAGATGTCTTGAGATTGGACTTCTTTCTGTACAGAGCAGTCACACACACTGCAGGCCATTTGGGGGACAGTATTCCTAGCATTAAGGTCTCATCATTTCTCCTTTCTTACTGTTCTTTGTGGTTAAAATTCGTGTCACTTATTGTTTCATATTTGCACCACAACTTGCTTGTAGAGCTTATTGTTTCACTTTGTTTTTTGTTACCTGGTTTTTTTACTTGTTTGTTGTTGTCCTTATGTCTTCAGCCTTGACTATATTCACAAAATGTTCCCACACTCCCACTCATCGTTTCTATTCTACTGAGTCTTCTTTCCTCCCTGGACATCTCTTTCCCAGAGCCTTCTCATTCAAGGATCCTTCCGAGTTTTAGGTAGAAGACACTGCCTGTTATAGGGGAAAGGCAGCTCCATGTAGCGGGCAGCGTAGGCCAGAGGAAAGTCCCCCACTGCCCTGTGCAGGCAGGGTGGATGGCCATGCCCAGTTTACTCATGAAGGTCGGTGACCCTGGGAGTCCAGCATTGCCAAGATCACATGGCTTTCCCAAAGCCAGAGCAGAGAGGTGAACCCCAGTTTACTTCTCAATGCTCTGCTCCTTCCATTACCACCTCACCTGCAGCTCAGAACGACTCCTGCCAGGTCTAAGGGAAGGGGAAAATCTGGCTGGTTCTGGTCGCTCTGCGTATCTGTGCTCAGAACCATGAGGGCACAGGCTACCTTGTAACCTGGAACAAATTACAGACCAGAGAAACAGGCTGCCTGTGCTCCTCCCAGGGTCCTAAGGAAAGGCTCGGTGGGGTCGGAACCCATTCTCCCTGCTGCCCCTTGCCGACGCTGAAGCCAGGAAACCAAATGCCCTGAAGAAGGGAAGGGACCTGGGGATCTTTGCACTAGTGTGCTCATTTTATAAATGGGTACATTCTTGGGGGAGTCCCTGGGTGACACAAATGGATAAGTGCTCAGCTACTAACCAAACGTTTGGAGGTTCAAGTTCGCTCAGAGGCACCTCAGAAGAAAGACCTGGTGATCTACTTCCAAAACATCAGCCATTGAAAACCCTATGCAACACAGTTCTACTCTGACACACGTGGGATCTCCATGAGTTGGAATCGACTTGGCGAACTAAATGGATCCACATTCCCAAGGCTGCCGCATGGGCTCCTTTGGAAGCCCTGGCTCTCAGCCTCCCATTGGCTGCTCGATGCCTTTCTCAGCTAGCACCATGCGAAGCGTGGCCGGATGAGGTCGGGGATCAGTCATAAGCACCACTCCACCTCTTGGGATGTCTCTGCACCCAATGAAAGAGGAGGGCAAGCAGGTGACCTCTTGGGCTCCCCAGCTCTGACACCCTGTGCTCAGTCCCAGAGGGCTCTGGCAGAGTGGTTGGCATGTGGGATTTTATTAAGGCTTGCCTGGATCCACAGCCCTGGAGAAGGGGCAGAACTGGGCAGGGGATTCAGGCTCCACACAGCCTTGGCTGGCACCTCAGAGTCATCCCCTGCTGGACCTCAGAGATCCATCTTACACCCGTCTCTATCATCACCAGATATGGGCCACCCAGGGAGTGACGTGATCTTGTACGAGGTGGCTCCTGCAGCTGAGGCGATCCTGGGGAAGCAGACGGATAACCCCACTCCCTCTGGCTGAGGTAATGAATCCTTCTAGAAGAGGGACCTGGGGGAAAACTGTGCCCACCACAGCTTCTAGTAACATACAGGTCATCATCATAATTACCTTAGCCATCATTTGTCCAATAGCGTCCAGGCACCCTACATCTGTTAGCTCATTCACCAACTGAGACAGGAAGGTGCAACGAATTGAGTGACGTGCCAAGATGTGATGGCCCAGGGGAGAGATGTGCCCCAGCAACGTCGTGGACACAAAGGAGAAGGAGCTGCAGTGACTTCTCTAGAGGCATGTCTGGTACGTGGGTTCAGAAATGCGGTTGGAACATTACTGACCAGACCTGGATGGACACCAGTCAGGGGTGCAGGCAGCTGTGCCTGGTGCTCCCAAAGGCAGCGAGGTGGAGGATGGAGCACACGTGAACAGAAAACCTCTGTATGTAGGCACCAGCATCACCTTGGCGTGTGGCCCTCGGAGACGGCATGCATCGGGGTTCCAAACGTGAATGGCTCAACGCAGAGTACAAGCAAGACCCCAGAAAAGATCCTGTGCTTTCTACACCTCCGGTAAACTCCAACCAACTGTTGGCCCATTCCTTTAATGGAAAGAGACAGGAACAGCAGAGAGAGCTTGCCGGCTCCCTGGGCTGAGAAGCAGCAGGAAAGGTGCAGCTGGACATGGGTGTGACAAGGCACTTTTGTCAGAATGTCCATCTGGTGTGTTTTTTTGTCCCGTTTTGTAAAAGTCTGCATCTAGCGGGCAGCTATGTGTGAATTAATGGAACACCATGGAATTAAAAGCTAGGAGGAAGGACCATTTTCATTGTGGTGCACTGGTTAAGAGCTACGGCTGCGAACCAAAAGGTCTGCAGTTCGAATCCACCAGCCACTCCTTGGAAACCCAACGGGGCAGTTTTGCTCTGTCCTGTAGGGTCACTGTGAGTCAGAATTGACTTGATGGCAACAGGTTTGGTTTGGTTTTCACCAGAAAAAAATAATGTTCTTGTGGCTGATGTGAATCTCAGGATCACAGAATTTCACACAGCCTTCTTTTCTCTACAAATCCAGAGCTAAATCTGTCACACCACATAGGTGGGAAATTCCACCTCAGGAATCCCTGGCACTCCCCCACCTGCCCCACCCCCTCCCTGTCCTGGTGTTTGACCAAGTTCCTGGGTTTTGTGAGGGGCCAGACCATCGAGAACATCTTCATAGCCCACGAAGAACCCCTGTCCCAGCCTCGTCTCCAGGCCCAATGCTCTGCCCCCATGGGCTTCACCCCTCAGAGGTGGCTGGAGGCTGAGGGTGGGGCATGCAGACACCTATGCCCACCACACCCATGCACCACTGAAGAACAGACACAGAGCCTGCTCAGCCAGCCAGCCTCCAGGAGAAACCTCATGTCCCACACCCACTTCCTCTCTGCAGATAGAGCAGGAGAAGGGGAAGTCAGGAGTGAAACGTCTCAGTAAAACCTCCTACCTCACTCACAGCCAAGGCAGAGCTGTGTTTCATTCCATGGTGATCATCCCAGTAAGATGACAAGGGATACCCAAGTACTTCAGAGTTCCCGTCCTTGGAAGTCAGGTCAGGGAAAGAAAGATTTATGCTTGGTACAAGGGAATGAAGCATGAAAATATTACCAGAGTGTGTGTGAGAATGAATGCATCAACCCTGTGGTCAATGGGACCGCAAGGACATCACTCAGTGGAGGCAACAGGAGGACTGGTCAACTCCTCTGGGAGGACAGTGGCCGGATGATCTCCTGGGGCTGTGAGTCAGGAGCCCTCAGAGGAGCCTCAGCTTGGGGCTCAGTTCATGCACAGGAATTAATGAAGTCATCCACTCAAAATCGTCTCTTGCACACCAAGATAGTACAGCTTGTCCAGATATTACACCTCAGCCAAGATGCCCAAGGCAGAAGCCAGCACTGACCAACCCTCAGATCAAGCCCCAGGCTCTGCCTGAACCACAGCTCCGGATGGAACTTTCACAGGAGTCAAAGCACGTGGGTCTGGCCTCCATCAACAGCACGCAAAAGCTGCCCTGGCCTTCGTCAGACACCACCCAGTCCTGCCAAGGTGAATTCTACAGGTTTCTTGAGCTCCGTCCAGCTCCCAGCAGACATGCTGTCACCAGAGGACCAAGCATGGGTCCAAAACCTGTACTACACAATGACACTAAAAATGACCATGTGAGACTGATGTTTCTCCTTTAAAAAACAAATACTGTTGACAACATTGTATGCTATGTTTTTCCACATCCTTATGTTCAAATGGGGTCACTATGAGTCGAAAATCGACTTGACATCACGTAACAACAAAAACAATGTTCAAATACTTAATTTTCCTGGAAGTAAGAGCCAGGGAAATAACTTGTCTCCCCTGAAGGACTGCTGGGGTTCTTTTTTAAATTAAGAGCTGACAGCTTTTAATTTAAAAAAAAAAAGACCTTTGCTGCTGAGAAATCAGAATTAAATGCTAACTCAATCCTGGTATCTACTTTATCTCAGGTTCCTGGTCTATTTATTTCTCTTCCCCACCTTTCTGCAGAAGTTTGCCAATGTCTTTGATTTTATTTTAACTTGTTGTGTGAGTATTCCAAGGTACCTGCAATCCTTTATGAAAGCAAGGGAGAAATTATAAGTAAGTAAGCAAAGAGTCACTTTGTAAATAAGCAAACACAGGGCGTAATGTTTGCGCCCATAATCCCGAAGAGGCCGTCTGGAAAACCGAGAGCCGGAAGTGGCAGGAGAACTAGTGAACCATCTATTACAAGTTTCCATTGTCCGTCCAGGAAAGCATTTGGTTTCACTGGTTCTGAAACAGGAAAGGTAATAGTAAGGAACACTGGGTGTTTCAATTATCTATGACTGTGTAACAAATCACCCCAAAACTTAGTGACTTCAAACAACCACAATCATTGTATTATCTCTCATGGTTTCAAGGGGGGCTCGGTGGGGCGGTTCTGGCTTAGGGTCCTCTGCAGTTGTAGTCAGATGGTGGCTGGAGCTGCGGGGGCCTGGCCAGGCATCTCTTCATGTAGTCTTGAGCCTCTCTATGTGTTCTCTCTCCACAGGCTAACTTGTGCTTCCTCACAGTATGGCGGCTTCAAGGAGATAGGACTTCTTACACTGTGGCTCAGGGCTCCAGTCAGAGCATCACGATAAACCAGATGGAAGCTGCATCACATTTTTGACTTACACTCAGGAGAGATGAACCATCACTTCTCTCCACTCTATTGATTGACCAGCCTGAGTTCAAGTCTCAGCCAATGCATCTCATGCTTTGCCAACACCTGTCTGCCACTGGGAGTTTGTGTGTTGCTATGATGCTGAACAGGTTTCAGCAGAGCTTCCAGTCTAAGACAGACTAGGAAGAAAGGCCGGCCATCTACTTCTGAAAAATCAGCCAAAGAAAACCCTATGGATCATGACGATCCAATTCCATTGTTCACAGGGTTGCCATGAGTCAGGGGTTGACTCAAAGGCAGTTAGCAACAAGGTGAGAGTTAGGAGGAATGTGGGTGGTTTGGAGCCTATAATACAAGGTCACTAGGCACATGTTAGACTGATTTTGTCTCACATTGTCCAGGGAAGTTATGACAAAGAGAACTGGGCCTTCTGCTTCCAATAAGAGTAAACCTCTATTGAGAGCTACAGAAGCAAAAAAATATTCCACAGCAAGAACACTCTCCCACCAATATGTACGCCACACAGACCCTCTCCCAGAACCCGGGAGCACACAGGCAGCCTGGGTGTACAGCCACTCCCATGCCCCCAGGAGGGCACAGGTGGCCTGGGTGTGCAGCCACTCCCATGCCCCCAGGAGGGCACAGGTGGCCTGGGTGTGCAGCCAGTCCCAT